TTATAGTGAGCTCTGATCATGCCACTATACTCCAGCTTGGGTGGCAGACTGAGACCCTGTCTCGAAAAAATAAAAAATAAAAGGGGGCCGGGCACGGTGGCTCATGTCTGTAATCCTAGCACTTTGGGAGGCTAAGGCGGGCAGATTACCTAGGTCAGGAGTTGAAGACCACCCTAACCAACATGGTGAAACCCTGTCTCTACTAAAAATACAAAATTAGGCCGTGCATGGTGGCTCATGCCTGTAATCCCAGCACTTTGGGAGGCCGAGGCGGGTGGATTGCCTGAGCTCAGGAGTTCGAGACCAGGCTGGGCAACATGGTGAAACCCCAACTCTACTAAAATACAAAAAATTAGCCGGGCATGACGGCATGTACCTGTAGTCCCTGCTACTCGAGAGACTGAGGCAGGAGAATTTCTTGAACCCGGGAGGTGGAGGTTGCAGTGAGCTGAGATCGCATCACTGCACACCAGCCTGAGCAACAGAGTGAGAGTCTGTCTCAAAAAAAAAAAATTAGCTGGGCATGGTTGCAGGCGCCTGTAATCCCAGCTACTCAGGAGGCTGAGGCAGGAGAATCACTTGAACTTGAGAGGCGGAAGTTGCAGTGAGCCAAGATTGTACCACTGCACTCCAGCCTGAGTGACAGAGACAGACTCCTCTGTCTCAAAAAAAAAAAAAAAAAAAAAAAAAATTAGTTTAGCGTGATGGTGCACACCTGTAATCCCAGTTACTTGGGAGACTGAGGCACGAGACTGAACCCAGGAGGTGAAGGTTGCAGTGAGCCCAGATCATGCCACTGTATTCCAACCTGGGTGACAGAGCAAGACTCCATGTCAAAAACAAAAAAAAAAGTCTCCTGGGTCAGGTCCCCAGAAATCCTGATTTAGCAGATCTGGAGGGGAACCTAGAAACCTGCATTTTAACTAGCAAGTCAAATACCCCTTAAGAAGCAAAAGCCTGGAGGAATGAGCTTTCCCTCAAGTTCCAAATGCAGTCGCTGCTGGGGACAGTTACTCTGGGTAGACACAGCCCCCTGGACTCATGTCCCAGCTAGAAATCAGTTCAATGATGAATAACCTCAGGTCACTGAAGTGGTAATCCAACTGCATGCTAAGCACAATTAGTTAAAGTGGATAAAGCTGTTTTCTTACTAGATAAGCGTCTTGTCACACTCCTGGAAAGTTTAGAATTAAAAAATAGAAGCATAAGGGCAAATCAAATTCACTGTATTAATGTTCTTATCCTAAACTGAGTAATAATCAGTATATTTTTGGAATTAAAAAGTAGCTGTAGGCCAGGCATGGTGGCTTACGCCTGTAATCCCAGCACTTTGGGAGGCTGAGAGAACAGAATCGCTTGAACCCAGGAGGCGGAGATTGCAGTGAGCTGAGATCGCACCACTGCACTCCTGCCTGGGCAACATAGCGAGACTCTGCCTAAAAAAAAAAAAAAAAGAAAAAAAGGTAAATAAATAAATAAATAAATAAATAAAAAGTAGGCTGGGGAGATGGCTCATGTCTGTAATCCCAGCACTTTGGAAGGCCAAGGTGGGTGGATCAGTTGAGCTCAGTAATTTGAGACCAGCCTGGCCAACATGGTGACACCCCTAAAATTTTTTTTTCTCTACAAAAAATATATAACAAAACCAGAAAACCAATGAGTGAAGCATAGTGGCATGCACCTGTAGTCCCAGCTACTTGGAAGGCTGAGGTGGGAGTATCACTTGAGCCCAGGAGTTGGAGGCTGCAGTGAGCTATGATCATGCCATTACACTCCAGCCTGGGCAACAGAGTAAGACCCTTCACAAAATAATAATAATAATAATAACGCAGCATGGTGGTGCACAGCTGTAATCCCAGCTGTTTGGGAGGTTGAACCAGGTGAATTGCTTGAGCCCAGGAGTTCCAGGCTGCAAGGAACTATGATTATTACAACCAGGAATTACGTGCCACTGTACTCCAGCCTGGGAAATGGAGGGAGACCCTGTCTCTACAAAAATAAAACATAATAAAACCAAATAAAACAAGCCACACCTTTAACTCCCTGTGGTCTTCCCTACTTATTGCACCTAAAATGATTCTCTCTCCTCTGAATTTCCCATCAGCCAGATTGGTTGGAAATGATCAGCAAGACCTAAGTAGTCTTCCCCAGAGTCTCACAACTTCCTGCTCTGAGGGGCTCCCAGGATGCTTTGCAAATAGTAAAAAACCACAGTAAGGATAACTCATGGATGTAAAGCATTTCACTTTTTACCTTCTGATCCCCTAACCTGGTATGACTGTTGCTATTTACAGATGAATTACAAGATGGCCCAGAGAGTCAAAGCCTGATCAATGTCACAGAGTCAGAGGCAGAGCCAGGCCTGCAATCCAATCCCTGGTTTTTGTTTGTTTTGTTTTCGTTTGAGCTCTGTCACCCAGGCTGGAGTGCAGTGGCGCAATCTTGGCTCGTGGCAGCCTCCACCTCCCAAGTTCAAGTGATTCTCCTGCCTTAGCTTCCCAAGTAGCTGGGATTACAAGCAGGTACCACCACACCCGGCTAATTTTTTTTGTATTTTTAGTAGAGACAGGATTTCACCATGTTGGCCAGGCTGGTCTTGAACTCCTGACCTCAAGTGATCCACCTACCTTGGCCTCCCAAAGTGCGAGGATTACAGGTGTGAGCCACCGCGCCCGGCCCCTAGTTTGTTTTTTGTAGAGATGGTCTCACTGTGTGGCCCAGGCTGGTCTTCAACTCTTGGCCTCAAGTGTTCCTCCTGCCTTGGTCTCCCAAAACGCTGGGATTATAGGTATGAGCCACCATGTCCAGCCCAGTCCCTGGTTTTGAATGCCACCCCTATCCGGATGACTCTTCTCAGGCTCATACCTCTCCTCTAAACTCCAGATCCGTGTCCTCATTTGCCTCTAGACACCTCCACTTGATGTCTGTGGGCCAGCTCAAACTGACGTGGACAAAACAGAATTTAAGATAATTCCTGTTGATTTTAAATTGTTGAGGTCAAAACTTAGATATCAGCTGGACGCAGTGGCTCACACCTGTAATCCTGGCACATTGGGAGACCGCGGCAGGTGGATCACTTGACACCAGGAGTTCAAGACCAGCCTGGCCAACATGGTGAAACCCTGTCTCTACTAAAAACACAAAAATGAGGTGGGTGTGTTGGCGTCTGCTTGTAATCCCAACTACTCAGTAGGCTGAGGCATGAAAATTGCTTGAACCTGGGTGGCAGAGGTTGCAGTGAGCCGAGATGGCCACTGCACTCCAGCCTGGGCAACAATGCGAGACTCTGTCTCAAAAAACAAACAAACAAACAAAACACACAAAAAAACTTAGATTATCCTCCTTGATTCCTCTTTCCTGTGCACCCTACACACATCTGCTAGCTTGCTCTGTCTGCCCTACCTCCCAAATTACATCCCAAATCTGATCACTGCTCTGCTCCACACCCTAACCTAAATTACCACCCATCAGGCCAAGCATAGTGGCTTGCGCCCGTAATCCCAGCACTCTGGGAGGCCAAGGTGGGAGGATCAACTGAGGTCAGGAGTTTGAGACCAGCCTGGCCAACATGGTGAAACCCCATCTTTACTAAAAAAAAATTAACTAGGCATGGTGGCAGGCGCCTGTAATCCCAGCCACTCAGGAGGCTGAAGCAGGAGAATCACTTGAACCCGGGAGGCGGAGGTTGCAGTGAGCCGAGATAGCACCACTACACTCCAGCCTGGGCAACAGAGCGAGACTCCATCTCAAATAAATAAATAAATAAATAAATAAATAAATAATCACCCAACTTCCCTCAACTGATCTACTACAATAACTTCCCCCTTACAGTCCACTCTCCATAGACCAGCCAGGATGATGACATTAAAGTGCAAATTAAATCTTGTCGTATTTCTGCTGAAAACCCTTCAGTGGCCTCCTAGTGCAATTAGGAAAAAACATGACTCCCTGGCCAGACGCGGTGGCTCACACCTGTAATTCCAGCACCTTGCAGGGCCGAGGCAGGATGATCGCTTGAGCCCAGAAGGTGGAGACTAACTTATCAAAAACAAAAACCAAAGAAAACAAGACTCTGTAACGTGGGTTCCAAGGCCAGATATCAGCTGACCGGAGTCCACCTCTTCATAATCCACTCTACTTCTTTCCCTCAAACATCCCAGGATTGTAGCTGCCTCAAGGCCTTTGCACCAACGTTTTCCTGTTCAACTCTACTATTCATTCAGGTATCAAGTGTCACCCCCAGAGCAGCCACCCAGGGTGCAATGTCACCATCACTGCCTCTCCAGTCAACCAAAGCACTATGTGTTTGTTGCACTGTACCTCCCCGACCTGCCCACTCAGTAGATTGAGTGCTCTATGAGAGCAGGGACTTGTTCACTGCTGGGTCCCCAGAGCAAGGACCAGAACAGGCGCTGGGAAAACATCTGTTGAATGTCCCAGGTACTCCAAACCCTTGCTCTTTTCAATACCAAGCAGGTCCCAAGTCTCCAGCCTTCTAGACCAGGGTTGCCGGGTGCGAAGCCCAGGGGTGAGAGTAACAGGAAGCAGGGCAGATCCCTCCCTGCAGTTAAGCCAGCGTGAAGGGTTTAACCTCCAGGACAAGACTTTTGCCACAGGCTCCAACTCCTGGCCTAGACTTGGGGCTGATGGAGGAGACAAGGTGAAGAGATGAGCCAGGGTTTCGGGAACCCAGATCCCCTCACCCCTCTATCCACTCCCCATCCCAAGGATTGGCGCGTCCCGCCGCAGGAAGTATGGACAAAGAGGGAAGCGCTAAAGTCTTCCAATGCGGGCAAAAGATACTAGGACTCTCCCCTCGGCGTCTGGCGGAAGGTACCTGGCTCCCCGCTGGCTGCAGCTCCGGGCTCCTCCTCCTGCGTCCCCACGTCGCGCACTGCTTGCTGGGATTCGTAGTCTCGCCTTGGCCATCAGCTCGCCCTTCCCAGAGAGCTTTAGGAATCCAAGCCAGGACGGCGCGGAGGGCGAGGGGAAAGTGATGGCGCGCGAGGGCTTCTGGGAGTTGTAGTTTAACATATTCAAACAGCCAGGAATTCTGGAGAGGAAAAATTGGGTAATAAATTTTATCAGATTATTTGTGTTGTCCTGATATGGATCTTATGAGATTTTGTTTTCTCATGCTCAGGACAGCAGTACCTCTGTGGTTCAAAACACCCAAAGCCGAGATTCAGAGGTACTACAAATCCCATAAAGTGTTGCACGTCTAGGGCCCTTGGAGAACGAGGTCGGCCCCAGCGCAGGCGCGGTGGCGCGAGTTGGACCGTGAAAAAAGAAACATGGCGGCCGTGGCGTTTACTTCGAAATTGTACTCCCTGCTGTTCCGCAGGACCTCCACCTTCGCCCTCACCATCGTCGTGGGCGTCTTGTTCTTCGAGCGCGCCTTCGATCAAGGCGCGGACGCGATCTACGACCACATCAACGAGGGGGTGAGGGCCTGTGCCATCCTTGACCTTGGACCTGCCTGAGGGGTGACAGTGGAGTAGAGGTGGGACGGGACTCGGTAACCTTTACCAGGAAGGGGGTAAGGGGTAAACCGTCGGCGTCTTCTGTCTCGAGTCCGCCGTCTGTCCCCTTGGCTTGATGTGAATTATAAAACGTTAAGCGAGGTTAATATATCTCACTTTACAGGGGTTGTAAGTATCGCTGTGTGCCACCCCACGTACCCACTTGTCCATTATCGGAAGCAAAAACTAAAGGCTAGTGAGAGCAAAGGACTTACTAGGTGCACAGGAAGCCAGGGGCAAGTCAGGGCCAGAAACGGGACCCCTGTCTCTCAGGATTTCAAGGGCAGATTTGAGCAGGCGACGGTCGTGAAAAGGACATTAGACACCTTAGACGCCGTGGCTAAAGTGTCAGGTGACGCTTTCGGTCCCCAAGGCTTCCCACGTAGGCAGTTGTTATTAGTGGTTGAGAGTGGGAGCTATGAAATCAGAAAGCCTTGGATAGGAACACTGGTCCTTGTCACTTAACTGTGGCATTAAGTTGAGCAAGTTTCTTCTCTGAACTCCGTTTTAACTGTGAGATGGAGATATTAATAGTAGTAACCTGAGCACTATTGTGAGGATCACAGGAGATGCAGCAGGGTGCCACATGCCTGGTAGGTGGCACCACTGAAAAATAATCATTGCTTACATTCCTCAGGAGAAAGTGGAAGCATGAGGTAGGAATGGCAACACATTTTTGACTTTTATGTATCACGCACTGTGCTAGGTGTAGTGCATGCTTTATATCGCTAAATTATGACTGTACTGGAGTAGGCTTTATACATCTAGCCCTGTTCCACCACTCACTTGTGTTTTTGAGACTGTTTGACTCTGCAGCCTGGGAAGGCACTGTCCACTAGTGCTATGCTGCCTGTGAACAGTGCAACTTCCTGCCCATATGAAAGCATTGCCACTGTACCCTCTCTTGCAGTTGGTTCTGTTGACCACTCCCACTGTTGTGGAGAGACATCCAAGTATGTTGTTATAACTCACCCATTTTCCCTGTGCTTTTTTTTTTTCCTTTTTGAGACAGGGTCTCACTCTGTCGCCCAGGTTGGAGTGCAGTGGCATGATCACAGCTCACTGCAGCCTTGACCTCCTGGGTTCAAGTGATCCTCCCACCTCAGCCTCCTGAGTAGCTGGGACCACAGGCAAGTGCCACCATGCCTAGCTAATTTTTGTATTTTTTGTAGAGATGGCGTTTCACCATGTTGCCCAGGCTGGTCTCGAATTCCTGAGCTCAGTCTGTCCTCCTGCGTTAGCCTCCTAAAGTGCTGGGATTACAAATGTGAGCCACTGTGCTCAACCTCTTGTGCTTTTGGGAATGAGAATTTTGGCCAATTTAGGTCCCAGGAAATGTTTTAAATGGCTCATGGTGAAATATTTTGGGACTACACACAACCTCTTCAGTAATACCCGGGAGTTAAAGAACTGAGACATCTTCCAGGCTGTTTTCCTTAATAATTGTGTGTTTTGGGGCACTTCCCTCGATCTCAACCTGAATTTCCTATAAAATTAAAATCACCCCTTTCTACTTCACCTGGTGATTGAAAGCATCATAGTATTTTATAAATGCCAAGAATTATGCATGAAGGCTCAGCACGGTGGCTCACGCCTGTCATCTCAGCGCTTTGGGAGGCTGAAGTGGGCAGATCACTTGAGGTCAGGAGTTTGAGACCAGCTTAGCCAACATAGCGAAACCCCATCTCTACTAAAAATACAGAAAGTAGCCGGGTGGCGCACACCTGTATTCCTAGCTGCTCGTGAAACTGAGGCAGGACAATTGCTTGAACCCAGGAGGCTGAGGTTGCAGTGAGCTGAGATTGCGCCACTGCACTCCATCCTGGGCGACAGAGGAGTCTCAAAAAAAAAAATGTGCATCAAGCATAGGATTGCTTCGAGTTTGCCCACCACAAGTGTATCTTTTTATTTTTATTTATTTATTTTTTTGAGACGGAGTCTCGCTCTGTCGCCCAGGCTGGAGTGCAGTGGCGCGATCTCCACTCACTGCAAGCTCCGCCTCCCGGGTTCAAGCCATTCTCCTGCCTCAGCCTCCAGTATAGCTGGGACTACAGGCGCCCGCCACCGCGGCCGGCTAATTTTTGTATTTTTTTAGTAGAGACGGGGTTTCACCGTGTTAGCCAGGATGGTCTCGATCTCCTGACCTCGTGATCCGCCCGTCTCGGCCTCCCAAAGTGCTGGGATTACAGGCGTGAGCTACCGCGCCTGGCCAAGTGTATCTTTTTAATCACGACATGGCATGTGTTTCTCCCAAGCTCATTTTAGAGACCAGGGCAGTGGGAGTAGTTGTAAAATGTGAGAGGCAAAGGTCAAAGTTTGTGGCTCTTGTCTTTAAAATGCAGAAACTGTGGAAACACATCAAGCACAAGTATGAGAACAAGTAGTTCCCTGGAGGCCCCCATAGAGGCCAGAAGGACCAGGTCCACCCAGCAGCTGTTTGCCCAGAGCTGGAGGCTGAGCTTGAAGATGATGCTCAAGTTACTCTTCATGGACCACCGTTCGCTGTTGGCAAGAAACGGCTTTACTTACAAAACAGACTCTTTACCTTCTGCTGTGTTTGAAGTATGTTTAGTCAGCATGCTCAGGAAATAAATCTGAATTGCCCTTGAGACCTGCTTCTGCATTGGTTGCTTTGTTAACTCTACCTGATCTTCACTTGTCAGTAATTTGAGACCACTTCAAAGCCCTCTGCAAACACCCCAAGGGCAGAGTCTGCTATTTTGAGTTTTCCATTAACTTCCAAAGAATTCTGCTTTTCAAAACAGGAGCCAGAGTTGGAGATACTACAGTCAACTCTGGCTTCTGAGCCAGTAATTCCATTCTTAAATAACTCACTGTCTTGGCCATGAGGAAGCACTATGGCCTCAGCTGGGGGAAAGACCCTGGCCTGGAGGTCTTAGCCACTCCCCACCCTAGGGTCTAGTTCAGGGGTATCCAGTCTTGGCTTCCCTGGGCCACGTTGGAAGAATTGGCTTGGGCCACACATAAAATAACACTAATGATAGCTGATGAGCTAAAACAAAAGACAAAACAGTTTGTGCAAAAATCTCATAATGTTTTTAGAAAGTTGACGAATTTGTGTTTGGGCCTCATTCAGAGGCATCCTGGGCTGCATGCAGCCTGCGGGCCTCGGGTTGGACAAGCTTGGTGTATTCTGCCTCTTACTGAGTATCTTTTGGTAAGCTGCCATACCTCTCTGGCTCACAGCCTCCTGCCACTGTTCCACTCTGATGAGTTCAGTTCGTAAAGGTGCTTAGTTGGTGGGTTTGAATCCTTACTCCACTGACTCTAGCTATGGGAACCAAGGTGATATGGTTTGGCTGTGTCCCCACCCAAATCTCATTTTGAATTGTAGCTCCCATAGTTTCTATTTGTTGTGGGAGGGACCCGCTGGGAGATAATTAAATCATGGGAGTGGTTCCCCCACACTGTTCTCATGGTAGTAAATAAATCTCACTAGATCTGATGATTTTATAAGGGGTTTCCCCTTTTGCTTGGCTCTGATTCTTTCTTGCCTGCCGCCATGTACAACGGGCCTTTCGCCTTCCACCATGAGTGTGAGGCCTCCCCAGCCACGTGGAACTGTGAGGGCATTAAACTTCTGTTTCTTTATAAATTACCCAGTCTGGGTTATGTCTTTACCAGCAGCGTGAAAATGAACTAATACACAAGGGCAAGGCACTTGAACTTGCTGAACTTTGGTTTCCTTATCTGTAAAATGGGGTAGTAGAACATACTGTATGGGATTTTGGGGCGTATTAAAGGAGTTGTGCCTGTAATCCCAGCACTTTAGGAGGCCGAGGTGGGAGGACTGCTTGAGGCCAATAGTTTGAGACCAGTCTAAGCAATACAGTGAGATACCCCACCTCTATAAAAAAATTTAAAATTAGCTGAGCATGGTGGCACAAGGCTATAATCCCAGCTACTTGGGAGGCTGAGGTGGCAGGATTACTTGAGCTCAGAAGTTAAGGTTACAGTGAGTTACGATTGTGCCACTGCACTCCTGCCTGGGGGACAGTGAGACACTGTCTCTAAAAAAAAAATTTTTGGCCGGGCATGGTGTCTAATACCCGTAATCCCAGCACTTTGGGAGGCCAAGTCAGGTGGATTGCTTGAGGTCAGGAGTTCGAGACCAGCCTGGCCAACATAGTGAAACCCCATTTCTACTAAAAATACAAAAATTAGCCATGTGTGGTGGCATATGCTTGTAATCCCAGCTACTAGGGAGGCTGAGGCAGGAGAATTTCTTGAACTCGGGAGGTGGAGGTTACAGTGAGCTGAGATCGCACCACTGCACTCCAGCCTGGGAGACAGCAAGATTCTGTCTTGCTCTGTCACCCAGAATGGAATGCTATGGCGCGATCTCAGCTCACTGCAGCCTTGACCTGGGTGCAAACAATCCTCCCACCTCAGCCCCCCAGGTAGCTGGGACTACAGGTGTGCGCCACCACTCCCCACTAGTTTTTTTGTATTTTTTGTAGAGGTAGGGTTTTGCCATAGTTGCCCAGGCTGGTTTCGAACCCCTAGACTCAAGACATCCTCCTGTCTTGGCCTCCCCAGATTACAAGCCACCGTGCCCAGCCAAAAATGTTTTTAAATTAAATTTTTAAAAATAGAGGAGCTGTAGGCCAGGCACAGTGGCTCAAGACTGTAAACCCAGCATTTTGTGAGGCCGTCGCGGGTGGATCACGAGGTCAGAAGATCAAGACCATTCTGGCTAACACGGTGAAACCCCATTTCTACTAAAAATACAAAAAATTAGCCGGGCATGGTGGCAGGCGCCTGTAGTCCCAGCTACTTGGGAAGCTGGGGCAGGAGAATAGCGTGAACCGGGGAGGCAGAGGTTGCAATGAGCAAAGATCGTGCCACTGCACTCCAGTCTAGGGGACAGAGCCAGACTCCGTCTCAAAAAAAAAAAAAAAAAAAAAAGAGGAGCTGTACTGCAGTTAGCACAGTCACAGATACTGGCACATGGAAGAAACTGTTGGCAAAGACACGGATGCTAAGGACTCAGAAAACCAGATGATTCTGCTGGAAGGCTGGAGCAGCAGGAATTGTGAAGAGGAGGAGTTGGAGAAACGTCTGGTTATTCATTCAGCAAGCGTTTGGCTGGCCACTGTGAGGCACTGTGCTAGCAGGACATATGGTGGTAATATAGCACTTGGGGCTTAAACTCCTATGGGGAAGACTCCAAAAGCCATCCTGTATTATTACAGACTGAGCCAAGGGCTCTGGGAAGCAGTACAAGGAGAGGGAGGGATTAACCAGGAGTGACAGCTGGTCTAGGGAAGCCTCAGAAGAGCTGAGACGGATAGGTGACAAAGATGAGCCACTTATGTTGGGCATCAGAGGCAAAGCAGGGGAAGTAGCAGGTTTTAGGGTCCCTAAGTGGGGAAAGCACTTGCTGTGTTGCAGGAGCTAAGAGGCTAGGTAGATGAGGTTGAAGGTGGAGAATACACAAGACCAGATCATTCAGGACCTTGTAAGTCACAGTGAAGAGTCTGGGCTGGGTGCAGTATGCTTCATGCCTGTAATTCCAGCACTTTGGGAGGCCCAGGCGGGTGGATCACTTGAGGTCAGGAGTTCAAGACCAGCCTGGCCAACATGGTGAAACCCCTGTCTCTACTAAAAATACAAAAATTAGCAGGGCGTGGTGGTGTGCACCTATAATCCCAGCTACTTGGGAGGGTGAGGCAGGAGAATCGTTTGAGGCTGGGAGGCAGAGGTTGTAGTGAGCTGAGATCTCGCTACTGCACTCCAGCCTGGGCAATAGAGTGAGACTCCATCTCAAAAAAAAAAAAAAAAAAAAAAAAAGGGTCTGGATTTTACCAAAATTAGAATGAGTAGCTACTACTGAAAATTTCCTAAGCAAGGGAGCAACAAGCTCTGTCATATAAAAACTTCACTCTGGCAACTGTGGGGCAATTAGATTGGAAGTGGGTGGGAATAAAAGCAGAGAGGGTAGCTAGGAGGCTGATACCTGGCTCCTGGTTAGAGCCCATGGCTGTTAGAGACCATGCAGCCTGGCTGGAAACTGTGCCTCCTGGCTGGGAGTGGCAGAGGAGAACATTGGGAAGCCCCGAGCAGGGATACAGCAGCTCTGGTTCGTAGCTGGGGAAGCTGCCCGGCCTGGGTAAGGTAAATGACTCACCAGTCTGCCATCTTTCACCTATGGCCTGATGTGATTCAGCCAGAGCTGGATTATCCAGAATCTTCTCTGATGGAGGAAGATTCAGGTCAGGAAACCCATGGAGAGGTAGGAGAGACCCTAGAAATCGTCCAGTTTTTCCTACCTGAGGCATATCTTTGTGAAGATGAAGTTGAAGCCTAGAAAAATTATGACCTGCCAAAGATAGTACAGCTCTGCGGTCAAATTAAGACCTAAGCGAGGCCAGGCACGGTCAGACGCGGTGGCTCATGCCTGTAATCCCAACACTTTGAGAGGCCAAGGTAGGTGGATCACTTGAGGTCAGGAGCTTGAGACCAGCCTGGGCAACATGGCGAAACTCTGTCTCTACTAAAACTACAAAAATTAGCGAGTGGCTGGGTGTGATGGCTCATGCCTGTAATCCCAACACTTTGAGAGGCCAAGGTAGGTGGATCACTTCCCGAGGTCAGGAGCCCAGAAGGACCAGCCTGGGCAACATGTTGAAACTCTGTCTCTACTGAGCACAAAAATTGGCGAGGTGTGATGGGGGCAACATGGCGAAACTCTGTCTCTACTAAAACTACAAAAATTAGCCGGGTGTGATGGCTCATGCCTGTAATCCCAGCTACTCGGGAGGCTGAGGCAGGAGAATCGATTTAACCTGTTAGTCAGAGGTTGCAGTGAGCTGAGATTGTGCCACTGCACTCCAGCCTGGGCAACAGAGCGAGACCCCATCTCACAACAAACAAACAAAAAAACGCATAAAAAATTAAACTTAGTTTTATTCAGAAGTTTTTTTGGTTTTTGCGGTTTTTTTTTTTTTTGTTTTTTGTTTTTTGAGAAAAAAAAAAAAAAAAGAAGAAGACCTGAACCAAAGTAGAGGCTATTCTAAGACTTTTGTTTTTGAGACGCCACCATAGCTCACTGCAGCTTTGAACTCCTGGGCTCTCCCACCTCGGCCTCCTGAGTTGCTGGGACTATAGGTGTGTGCCATTGTGCCCAGCTAGTTTTTCGCAGAGATGTGGTCTTGCCATTACCCAGAAGGGTCTTAAACTCCCAGCCTCCAGTGATCCTCCCTCGTTGGCCTCCCAAAACACTAGGAAAATAGGCGTGAGGCACTATCCCTGGTCCCAGACTTTTTTTTTTTTTTTTTGAGACGGTGTCTCGCTCTGTCGCCCAGGCTGGAGTGCAGTGGCGCAATCTCGGCTCACTGCAAGCTCTGCCTCTTGGGTTCACGCCATTCTCCGGCCTCAGCCTCCCGAGTAGCTGGGACTACAGGCACCCGCCACCACTCCCGGCTAATTTTTTTGTATTTTCAGTAGAGACGGGTTTTCACCATGTTAGGATGGTCTCGATCTCCTGACCTCGTGATCTGCCCGCCTCGGCCTCCCAAAGTGCTGGGATTACAGGCGTGAGCCACCGCGCCCAACCGGTCTCAGACTTTTATGAATGATTTCAGCA